ACGTGAGTTACAACGCGCCACAGGTTACTCGGGTGTCGAACAAGCGGTCGATAGCTTTTAGCGGCGAGCGAATTTCATCGTCGGATTCCATTCGTTCGATGCCTCGATCCTCTCCACCTTTCGATCACTTTCGATCCGACCCTTTCCAAATCGAACGTCGTCGACGTCGTTCTCGTATTTTAACGCGCGAGCGAAAAATCTGACCGCGAAAATGGCGTAAATGGCGGACGTTTCGATATCGATGGGACAGGGGGGAAAGAAAGAAAGCCGGATTGCCTCGATCGCTTTGAATTCCAGCCCGAGTGAATCGCATCAGGCTGAATTCCTGTCCCCTTTTCGGTTCCCAGGCTAAATGGAAATTCTCGTTCGCGCCTTGCTCTCGCGTGCCAAAGAGGGATGAAATTCTAGGGTATTAATTTCGCCTACGGACACATTTCTCTCCTTTTAATTGGAAATTTTCAATGTCGAGTTTTAATTTCTCTTCTTCCCGTCCTTAATTGAATCTATCCATATGCTCCATCTTCCATCGATAAAATTTAATCGGACGAGGTTGGATAGAATATTTCGTCTTTTCCTTCATATAAACTATACTACTTTCCTTTCCTTCCTATATTCTATATATATATTCTATATTCTATATATAATATAGATAACTATATTCAAATTCATTTCGGATAAGAACTTTTCGATCGATTTACGCTAAACGATTCATCATTCGTTAAAAAAAAATTCAATCTCTCCACGACAAATAGTTTCCCTGCCTAACGACCAGCTCTTTAGACTCGGCTCGATTACGTCGTCTTCATTAGTCTAGATTTTCACTCGAAACGCAACGAGCGAATACCCGCGGCGCGATAATTTTCCTCTTCTTTTTTTTCTTTTTGTCCAACCGCGTGGTAAATTTGCATCGCTAATCCCCCCCTCCGCACGGAACGGTGTCATCCGCGGCTTGATAACGGGTCGCAAAACGACGAGGCAAGTACACGTAATACGAGCCTAATTGTACGTGCTCTCGAGGAAGAGCGAGGAAGCCGGATCGCTCAATCGTGAAACTACCTACGCTCATACCGCCCCTCCCCCCTTATTCCCGCGTAAACAGCGGATCTCTTACGAGGCCGTTCCTCAAATAATCGTAGACGGTCGTATAAATGGTTATCACCATGGTTTCTCCCTCGTCTCGACATCACGCAACACGCAACGCGGCGAGCCCCCCGTTTCACCGGTCTGCTTTCGACTACCAGAGTCGATTTTCCTTTTTCCGATTTTTCATCTCGCGTATTTCGCGAAATTCGCGTGTTTTCGTTCGCCGCCTTTATTAACCCGATCGGAGAAAGAAGGAGGAGAAAAAAACGTACGTCCACACGCGGACGATGGGAAAAACCGTGCTAATGGCAATCGCGAATCACGCGCGCAGCGTAAACAGTAGTGACGGTATCAAGCGTTCGATGTACGCTTCTCGATTGAAAAACGCATCGATGAAATCGTCGATAAAATCGGAACGATTCACTGCTCGCGAACCGTTCGATCTTCGTTTACAAGGAAATTAAAGAAGAGAGTTTCGAACTTTCCGTAAGATACACATAGAAAGTCACTCTGTAACGAGCAACTTTTTGCAACCTCGTTAAAAATCTAAAGAAAAATCTAATCGAGAAAATGGAAGAAACGTGTTAAGATTGTACTTTTCTCTCGAAATATTCGCGAAAGGTTCGAATCTAATAGTTGGTTGAAACGCATTTGCAACGTACTCGATCCCATCGCTAGCCGACCGGTGATACCGGCTCTAATAACGCGGCCATACTTCGAAGAAATCGCGACATCGCAGTCCCTCATTCAGACCGCTTATTAACGAATCTTCTTTCTTTTTTCTTTTTTTTTTTTTTTTTTGGAGGAAGAGTTGAGAGTGGGGGACGACAAATAGATCGGTCGTTCCGTAGGTGGCCACTCGACGTACCTGTTCCGACGATTTAGAAAGGCACAGATGACACCATACGAAGGCACACATTTTGCTCGTTGATCGTTAATCGTTAAACGTTGTCGCGGATCGGACGGCGACTCGGACGCAATATCGCTGTCTCAAGGACAAGCGCTTCGCCTCGAAGGGAACATCAACGCGGAGTTGCCTCAGGGATGGAGAATGTTGCATTGAATTAACCGTTGGGTAGCTTGATACCGATTTATGCGTCCTCTTGCAACTTGTTCGACCATTGTTGCGGCCAATTTATCGCGTGTACTCGATCCGAGAAAGTAGCAAATGTCCACCGGCTTATTTACGAGGACGTTGCTCGCTTCGCCATTTTACCCGTGGATATGAGTTTGGATCGAGTTGAGTAACAATAGTTAAGTAAGAATTTTATATTTATTATCGAGAAATTTTATATTGCAATATACTTTGACAAATTGTCAAATGATAAATCAGTACGTGTAATTTTTATGATCAGAAATATCTTCTCTTAAATCGTCGTATTTATCGTACAAAGAGATCCATGAAAAAAAAAGAAGCGAGCTTTTCATCTTTTTCTTCCAAGTAAAAAGATTCCATTCGAATGATCCATCATGATAGACCCACGTACGAAAATATGGACGAATATGCATACGAAGATTCGCTTGAAAAGGAATACTACGAAACGATTCCATTCCATCCACGAAGAAATAGTCACGAAACGGCTATTATCGCAATTTTCCATTCGATTCACAGCATAATATACGATACACATATACAGCTCTCGCGTGAACGAAAGCAGCAAAAGCCTTCCGTAACGGAGAGCACGAATAATATCCTTCCTTCATCCTTCTCGAATTCATTCGAGAAACGAAAGAAATCGTATCCGTACGATTAAACCGATCCAACCAAAAATCTCAATTATCGAAACTTCGATCGAGCTTCGTCGTTCCATCCGATCCTCGTTATCCCCGCCGTCAAATTAATTCGAAACGAGACACGCCAGCGCGAGGAAGGTGTATCCAACCACGGATCCCCAACACCGGAGAGCCCAGTCCCATAAAGCAGCGCGATACAATGCGCTATCGTGCACGTTGGATCCGCACAGCTGGTACGGGGAACACGTACGTACGTACGTACGTACGTACAGACAGGGAATAGGCGACGTGTAGTACTTTCGTTCTTTTACCCGATCAAAGAAGAATCGACGTGCTCGTTTGTACGTCCCCATGTTGATACACCGATCCGTGCACTCCACGTTTACAGGGAAACAATAACGCGAGACCGTACATGGTAGACGGCGGATCGTGGTCCGTTCCCCACGGCGTGCACGATACGTATACATTCGGTGCTCGATACGCGCGTATATAAATATCGATTCTATTTGTATTCGATCCGTATACCCGCGTCCTTCCATTCGAGGCCCCCTCGCTCGCGTCTCGTAGCGTCCTTTCCAAACCAAAACATTCTTTACGTGTATCTTACGTGTATACGACACTTGCCTCGCCTCGCCTCGCCTTTCTCCTCTCCTTCCCGTCGTTTCTTCTCTTCTCGGTTAGTTGAGAAACTTTAGGAAAATCGACGGTGGAGATCGAGAGGGGGGGAAGGAGAGTAATCGAGCTCGAGGAATCTTTTTGCTTTTTTTTTTTTGCGTTTCGCGAAGTTGAAGGGAGAATTAATTGGGGGTTTTTATAAGAGTGGATGATATTTTTAGCTGGAATCGTTGGCGAAGTTTTTTTTCTTTTTCTTTTTAGATGACGTTTTCAATATTCGATTATAAATGTGTTTGGCGCGGGGGATTTTTTTCTCGTTTCAGTTTTCTCGCGGAGATGGTATCTGGTATCTGAAGACACGCGTGTACTCTGATAAATTGCCAGACGGGTGAAAGAGACAAGAGTCTCTTTAAAACCGCTTTTAACAAGTCGGATCCTTGAGAAATAGGGTGATACCTACTTTCGTCCAGAGATAAATGAGTGTCATCCGATCAAAGAAAATTCTTCGTGACCCGGATTCGTAGACCAAGCCTGGTTTCAATGTTCGTAAATATTTATAGAAAAATGGGGCAATCATTTTTACGGAAAATTTCAACAAGAAATGAAGATATTCTCTCTTCGAACTCTTTTAATTTAATTATCGCGAAAACAAAAAAAAACAAGAAACAATTGGAAACATTATCAAAACTTCTTACTATATTTTTTTCTCTATATTTTTTTCTCTAAATTTGCCTCATCAACGAAATTAATTTCTCGAATCCCAAATTCTTCTTCACGGATTATCTTTTTAAAATTTTAACGAGAAGTGGAACGAGCATCCACGAGGACGAGGCCAAGTCACTTCTGAATGAGATTTCACGCGTTAGAAACGGCCACGTGCGCTCGTTCGGGCGACAACTGCGTAAACTGCGAACCGTTCCAGACGAAGAAGGAAAGGATCGAGGTATCGAGAAGAATGATCGATACGAGGACGGGCGAAAATTGATGCCCCCGAGAGATTATCGTGGAACAAATCTATGGAATCACGATCGAGGCCCATTGGCGAACTCGTAAATTGTTCATCTTTTCCACGAGGCGTTCCTACGGCGCCTCAATCGGCATACGAACGTTCAAGATTCGCATTTACCTGTAAATAGCCACCCCTTGGCGGCTATTACAGATGAAACTTATCCAACGTGTTTTCGTGCAAAATTGACTCGCGTTCACCGAATTACATGCAGTATCTCCTTACTGCATCGCTATGCCTCGAGCTTGGCAAATTTTATTTATTTTATCCCGTGAAAGAAGCGTGGTACATTGTGTCTGGATAGATCAGGTGTGTCAATTGGAATCAAGCGGAACCATTGAATCATTCGTCGGGGATAAAAGCGTATGGAACATGGCTTAGGTTGTTGCTATTATGAAAGTATTTGTTATACGTACAATTTTACGATTTGTCGTCGAGATTGTTGTTCTCTTCGAGGTTTTTTTTTTTTTTTGGATGGTTATGTAACTTTTATTATTTTGTTACATTCCCTTTTCACGAAGAAAAGAGAAACAATTTTATGGTATATAATATATTAATTGAAAACAGGAATCCACGTATGTACGACATCGATACGCCATTTGTTTCTTTTTACTCGCAGACATTATCTGAGAAGACGCGAGATTAGTGTCGCGCAACCATAATCGCCAGTATTATACCGTAGATCGGCCGATTAAAGCCATGGTAGAGAAAAGATTTATACATTCACCATGGATTTTCATTACCTTTACTCATATGCTAATAAATAACTTTCCTTACAAAATATTTCTATGTTATAAAATGTTG